AAAAAAAAAAAAAAAAAAAAAAAAACCCCAATTTCCCACTGTGTGAACACTTTACTCATAAAGTGGAATCTTCTCTTAAATCATCAGGCGAATCCAATTCAACTTAACTGAGCTTTATCCAACTCTCCACTCTCCACTCTCCTTTTCATTACTGTTTCACCCCGAATCTTTCTTCACTTGCCATTGACTTGGAGACATGTTGACTAAGTTGTCAAGTTATCAGTCGTCACCCAATGCAGTTTTGCTGCGGTATGGTATGATTTGAATCTTTGGTCATGTTGAATTTTTCTGTGGTTTCATGTGTATCACTTAGATATCATGCCGTTGCATCGTGACCGAAGCGTTTTAGTACCTGATTACCGATATCACTACTTTGAACCATGCCGAGATAGAATATACATAAATTACTACATCGATAATGTGTGTGCAGTGCTTTTGTGGAAAGTTTACACTTACAATATGTGCTAATCATCTATTATTGGCAATTTTCACTCTCAGATGCTTAACAAAGAACATGAGAAAGCTGAGGATGCAAAGCCAGCAACAGTACCACCGGTTGCAGGAAGCTGAACATAGGTTTTATCCCAATTTGGGTTTTCTGCCGTGGTAAACCTTAGCTTTGGGGCAGTGAACCTGAGATATGCTACATCAAGAGTTCTCGTCGATAATTTCTGGTTCTGCAGAATGCAATACAGAGAACAGGGCTACAAACACTGGATTAATGATTAATGTTGTTTTTTTTTATATGATGGTGACCTTAAATTGCTTAGCACTTGTACCATCTTCTATTGTCATCTGATATAGAAGTTTGTGTTCTTTGTATTTGACATTCTGGGCTCTTTATAATTGATGCATTTGGTTCGATTTGGAATCTTCTCCCTTTTGTTGCCACATAGGATCCAATTTGCCTTTGCTGTCAAATTGGTGACCCCTTTAAGAGAGAGAAGATGATTACACTATGCAAATTTAGTTATTAAATAATTAGTGGGTGTAAAAATGATTACTATGCAAGTTGTTCATTTCTGTGTGTAATTTGGTACCCACTTAAAGAGATACCTCTGCGTGATCTCTATATTGTAATTGTCCAAATAACTACTAATTCTAGTTGGTGTACTTTCTCTAGTGACTTTATTTGAAGGCCTTTGCACAGGCCAAGGATATTACTGGTCATGGATGGAGAATTTGCAGAATCAGAATTTGAAACGCTGCAGATATGAATAGAATATGGTATGAGCTTTGCAATAAATTGATCATAGTAGTGACTTTTTCTTTGAATACAGGCTGCTCAGGCTTTAACACCTAGGTAAACCAATTGTGTATTGTGTTGGGTGAGGGGATTGTGTTGGATTTTAACGGGTTCGTATCAAAAAATATTTTGTCTATATTCGATTCGTTTATTAGTTTGTATTTAACGAATTATGTCATATTGAGTTCATGTCGCGTATGAATTATGTATAATTTGTATATAAATGAGTTATATTATATATTTTTTTGAATGACTTTAACTATATCCTATTTATTTATTAATTGTGCTGTGCTGGATTTATCGTTTATGAAACAAGTGATTTAAAGTAAATATAAACACTCAATTTTGTGTTGTATTTACGAAGTGTTGATGGATCATGTTAATCATTACAACATGTGTAGGGGTCCACTTGTAAATTGTGAGTTCTACTTAAATACATAGTAAGTAATTTATAATGGGATAAAATTAAGTAAAAGTGTATTAAAAAAGAATCTCGTCTCGAGAAAATCTGCAACCCTTCAACTGGTCTGTCTTTTTGATCGGGATGCTGGTGATAAATTGAAACAATGGTGGTCGTTTCTTCTTCTTCTTCTTCTCTACCTTCCAAAATACCACAGAGAAGTCTTTTAGTCTATACAGTGAAGAAACACCAGAGAAACACAAGTCTCAAGAAGAAAACCAATCCTCTTTGGAATGTTGAAAGCAAAACTATACTCTAATATAATGATTGATCAATAACAGATGTGTTCACTTCTACTCACTATGCAATTCTTTTTCTATGTATTTAATTTCCTACATAAAAAAAAAAAAAAGTCACTTTGTAAATTATAAATCACAACATTTCTCTCTCTTCCGTTTTTATCTTTCCATATGAACCATGCAAGAACTCTTCTAGCAAGAACTTGTAGAAAAAGAGCTTGATCTCTTCAAAGAGGAAGAGGAATTCAAGAACTCGATGCAATCTTCCATAGCTTCAGCTCGATGAGAATCAAGTGGTTCTGCATATGACCGTGACCTTACCAAACTAGACGAAGAAACTCTACGCGATGATCTTCTTCTAGTGGACATAGAACGCAGAGCTCTCGCCACCTTCGCTCCAACGCTCTTTAGAAGATTCACTGGTGAGAATCCATAGCTTTTGGGAACTCTATAACTCCAAATTGAAATGACCCTCTTCTTGTTTCCACCAACTTTGATACCACCACCATGTTTGTGTATGACTGTTGGCTTGATCTCATTGATATCAGGACTGAAAGTCACTCTCCTGCTTAATTTTCTTGACATTATACTCTACTTGGAGTTGGGGAAAGACAGAGAGGTTTCTGTACGTGGAAGCAGAGATAGTTGGAGAAGTTTATAGGAAGTATTTCTAGATGAATTGGTGAGGAGGAAAGAGAAAAGGAAAAGGTGAATGAGGAAAGATAAAGACTAAGGTTCCTCTTGTAATGAGAAATCTTCAGTATCTTGAGGAATTATATGCTTGTTCAGGAAGGTTGACTATGGACCGAGCTAGCGTCTTTCAATTTTTTTCTAAGATAGATCAACTATCATAAATATACTACGACCCACTACTTATAATCTATTCGTAGGGGATGATCTATCGGTGAGCAAAACAGAGAAATAAATGTAGGGGCGTTAACGGCGACAAGTTATATCGTATTTTAAACGAGTCAAACTTGAATAAATTTTTAAATTCATTTAAAAAAATGAGCCTCAAAAGTTTGGCTTAAGTTCACAAAATTTGACTCGTTTATATGTAAAATAATCAAGTTACTCGAACTCGATCTGACTTGAGTTTTAAACAAGTTGAGTTTGAACAATTTTTTAGACTCATTTAAAAAAATAAACTCAACAAGCTCGATTAGATTGACGCCCCTAAATATATGCACTCCCTTTCGGTGCAAGTAATCAAGAGCATGAGCCATTGCATATAGACTTGTCAATAAATCAGATTTTGATTTGAATCCGAATCTGATTAGTTGAATATGGATTAATTTTTCTTATCATTAATCCGAACCCAAATTCGAATCCGATACATTATATTTAACGGATTTGGATTTGGATTTGGATATACATATATCTGATCCGAATTATTTATATATTTTTATATAAATATTAAAAAATTTAAGTGATCATTTAAAAAAAATTTAGTTGAAATTTAGATATAATTTATTAAAAATTAGTTAATTAAGTTATTCGTATCAGGTCGGATTTCAGATCGAATTTTTGAGTTGTCAACAGATTCAGATATGAACCACTAAAATAAAATTGTCAAATTATCGAATTAGACTTTTAAAATCAAATTCTAATTTGAATCAGTTAGAATTCAATTCAAACTCAATCCTTTGACAGCATAATTGTATATGAAACATCCGAATGTTTGGTACCTTTCATGAATCAATTGCATACTCTTACATGCTGAACTTCTTTCAGTGTCTTTATTATGATGTTGTGGATATACCTACTCATCATCATTATATGGATCCCTTTACAATTGCTTAATTTGTGAGGAAATACTAATAAGCTATGGTTGCTGATCAGTCACCCTACCACTACCAACCTTTGGATGAGGCTTTCTTAGGAAGCATGTCAAACTGTCAAGGTGTTACGATCCTTTAACTGTCTAATTCCGGTCCCTTACAATTCTATATTAAACATGTCATGCTCTGATACGGAATAATATAAACTTGAGTAAAAAGTAAAAAGTTATCGATAACTTGTATACACATACATTGAAAACTATACTCGACTAATTGGGAGGCATTTAGTATCATAACACCGTGTGTATATACATTCAAGGGATGGTAGCTTCATCGATCATAGAATGTTTTTTCTTTGGGTTTTTTTTATATTCAGAGGAGGATGGTAACATCATTTAATTATTAATTAGAAATTTTCTTGTCATATTCTCTAGTTCAACATTAAGAATGCCAAGACTTCCACCACGTCCCTAAATATTCATTTACCACCATGCTCTGGTGGTAAGGGCAATGTTACTTGGACCAAAGTCATAAGCGAATGAATGGTCAGAAATTAGTATTGTCATTGATTTAACTGCAGGTCTCAGTATTTGTTAAAATTTAACACAAATTCAATAGTTTAATTAAGATCAATATTTTAGGTACAAATAACATTTTCGTTGTTGTAAACGTTACTAGGACACTAACATGCATGGTATTGGGAAATCCTCAAGGTCACATGAAGTAAAATCTTCCTATACTATAGTTTTGAAAAGTTTTGGAGGCAAGGTATAAAAACAATACAATTTGAAGATATGGTGTGCATGAAAATTAAACAAGGTAGAAAATGGTGTTTTGGTCAAAAAGAAAGGAAAGAAAGACACAGGAGTGGAGCCCTTGAGAAGAATAAGATAGAGATGTTACATACATACATATATATATATAGTGTAAAAGGAAAGTATTAAGAGAACAAGGGGTGAGGAATAGCATACTTGATGCTCTTGTCATCAGTGTTTCTTTTAAGGTGCTCCCATGGCCATCTTGATTCTGTTAAGGGATCAGAATTTCTAAACATGGCCCATTTTAATGCAGGTGTGTGTGTGTGCGTGTGTGTGTGTGTGTGAGAGAGAGAGAGAGAGAGAGAGAGATGCTGTTTTGAACTTTGGCTTGGCGTGAAGATTTAAAATTCCTGTCCTGTGGGGGAATCAACCATCTTTGCCTTTTTTTAGCTTCTTTGACCAAAGAAAACCCGTGTTGAATTATGGGGGAATCAGGAAGTTCTTTCACCAGAAGAACTTTCCAACGAAGTCTGTCAATCATGTCGGAAAAATGGGGTCGTATTGAATTTTTGTAAATTTATATCAAAAAAATATTTTACTTATATTTAATTTATTTATTAAATTGTGTCTAATAAATTATGTCATATCGAATTCATATCATATATAAATTTTATATATCTGATATATAAATAAGTCGTATCATATATTTTTATTGAGTTCACTCGTTTACTAAATAAATAATTTAGGAAAAACACAATTTCCTAAAATAATTTATAAAATTATCCCTCGACCAAGCGGTTATACAAATATTTGGATGGCGTTAATATAGGAATTTGGCAGAATTTTCTAAAAAATAACCGTTGTGCCATTTATGGGGTGAGCCTGTGCCCTGAGCCCTAGTTGAGCAAGCCCAGTCTAGTACGACTAGTTTTGTCCGTGTCATTCCGAGAGCCTATAGCCAAACTGGTCATGATTGTGCCGGCCTGGCCCATTTATACTCCTTTTCTAAGGATGAATATGATCTTGATATTTAGGAGCAGGGATTACAGTGGATTGAATTCGGGGCGGGGTTGAATTCTCCATCCACGTATCTATTTAAAAATATTTTTGTCTATTCTCGCTCCATCTTTATTAATGGATATAATTTTCTATCTTCATTCTAGTTCGCAGGTAAATTTATTATCCTCACCTCTGCCCCCACCCTCGTCCACCTTACTCACCCGAACCCAAATATAAGCCAACATAATTTAAAATTTTAAATAAATCTAACATTATAAATAATCTAACATAATTAAAGAATATCATAACATAATTAAAAGTTTGTCATTTACAACATAATATAATTAAAACATTGTCTATAACATAATCTAATATAATATAATTAAAAATTTATCTCCCTTCCCTTGTAAATACAACATAATATCATGTAACATAACATAATCTAATATAAAAAAAATATAAAAACGCAAAGATCTACATTTTTACAAACCAAAACTATTAAAAAAAATCAAAAAATAAAACAATTTGAATAATAAAAAATCATTCAATAATATGTAGATTTGTATATATAATAATAATAATAATAATAATGGGTAAAGCGGAACGGGGCGGGGGTAAGTGTTATTTCATCCCCGCACAAGTTTATATGGGTATCCCTGTATACGTCTACCGTTCAATATGTATGATTCATTCCCCATTCAAACAGAACCGATTTGGACGAATACTAATTTTTATACTGTCCACTACAATCCCTACTTTAGAGGTTTTGACGGAATCAATAAATTCAATATCAAGAGTAATTCAAGTGGTAATAGGAATAAGTTATAAATTTAGATGTCTTGAGTTTGAATTTTAATAACTCACTAGAGTCAGCATGAATGATTTATTCTTTATAAATATCTTAGTCCCGACATGGATGACTAGCTTTTGATCGAACCGAAAAAGAATTAATTGAGAAACGCATAAGTTTGTCCAGACAATCCTAATCATTAAAAAAAATAAAGAAATTAATAAGCTCCACACATGTTCTAGGTATAGGCTAGGAATTAGGTACACCTGGGCATGATCTTATGACTGTTAGTTTATTCTAACCAAACGTCTTTTGAACTCTTGATCACAAGGCAAGCCTATTCAAACTTTCACAAACTATGCATCTTTGTTAACTCGGGCTATGTGATCAATGAGATTAAAATTTATTTTCATCATTTGTTTGATCATTGGACCAACCCGCTCAAGGTTTTGAGTAAATATTGTTTAGAAGATTCATATATAGATGAGAGTATTGCAATGTAAATGGCCATTTGTGAATAAGGGACTCTGACTTCTCTCTAGGCTTTCTCTCTCCTAAAGCATTCTGAGATAGAAGTAGTGGGAGCCAGATCTTGTCCTCCTTTCAGCATTCTTGCTTTCTCTTCCTTATGGATGGGGATCCTAGGATCCCCTCACCCCGATCATTGGAAGAAGATTATCATCTCCAATGAAGCACGAAAAAGATCAAAGAGACCCATCTAGTTATTATTGAAGACGGGATGTTAGTCGACCCAGTGTATAAGCTACCAGGGGAAGATGAACATGAGATGCCGGATAAACCTGCATCTCCTTCGGGGACAAAGACAAGGAACTATTTGGATGCCCTGATGGAAGACAAAAACGCCATCTATTTTGATGATTCATTCTATGGTAACCTCTCTGAAGATGAAGAGTAAGAGATTTCTAACAAGGAAATACAAGGGGATGAGGAGAATGATCAAGTTGCAATTTCCAAACGGGTTATAATTGATACCTCCGATGAGTCCTGCCCTCACATCAAACTTCCCCAGAAAACACTTGATCGTATACGGAATAGATGGAGAGATGGTCTTCTGGTTAAGTTATTAGGGAAAAATATAGGTTACAAAATGTTGTGTATGAAAGCCAGGAATATCTGGGCTCTCCAAAATGACTTTGAGGCGATTGATCTGGATAATAGTTTTTTCCTCTTTAAGTTCCAGTCAAAGGAAGATTGTTTTAAAGTGGCTACAGGAGGCCCATGGATCATCATGAATCACTATCTCACAGTCAGGAAATGGGAACCAGACTTCATCCCTTCAAGGGTTGCTGAGATCACAACGGGTTTATGGGTAAGATTACCGAAATTACCACTGGAGTATTATGATGAGAAGACTCTGTACCAAATAACGAAAGCACTAGGTAAGCTGATTAAAGTGGGTATCAAGACAGCAGCTACAGAGATAAGGAAGTTCGTCAGAGTATGTGTGGAACGTGATCTAAGCAAACCACTAATTTCTCAATACAAATTGGGTTCGAGAATATT